TTATCACCAGTAAAATATGGAGTGCCACAAGGATCTGTCCTAGGTCCTCTGCTATTTTCAATATACATGTTGCCCCTTCGTAATATTATTAGAAAATACGGGATTAGCTTCCACTGTTATGCTGATGATACTCAACTATATATCTCAACAAGACCAGATGAAACTTCTAAATTTTCTAAGCTAACGGAGTGTGTTAAAAATGTAAAATATTGGATGACCAATAATTTTATCTTATTACATTCAGATAAGACAGAAATATTATTTATTGGATCAAAAAACAGTACACAGAATCTCTTGGATTACAATTTGCAACTAGACGGATGTACTGTTACTTCCTCTACACTTTGGCCAAGCATTCAAATAATGCATCTCATAATCTTGTACTGCAGTTATATCTGATCAAATGCACATTATTATTTTTTAGTTTGGGTTAAACAAATAAATTTGCTTGGTTGGAACAGCAGCTACGCTAATTATGTCTCTATTTGTTTCTCTGTTTTTGCCACGGGATTGACATCCCGTGGTAACTAGGATTTACACAAGCTTCAGTCTGGATCCAGAACACCTGAGAAGAGATGATGCCAACCCCTCAGAGGACCTCAGATGATGCTAACCCTGAAACAACATACAAAACTACCACATTTTGCTATAAGTTTGATTGCATCATATAATAATTGCTGTTAATAGTGTTCATCGTCTGTTTGATTACGTCTTTAATTGATTTTTCCGTACATTTCTGCCATATGTACATAAACTGAGTCACCACTGGTAAGCTACTACTAAATATTGTAGAAACTTAATTTTCTCTAATGTTGCATTGCAACGATTTGTATCGTAAAAATCAGCAGACAACAAAAGTGGACAATAAAAGTTTGATACTTGAAGCAAACAAAGTAAAAGACAGATCTCTCTCTTTATTATCTAAGAAGACAGCAAAGCATCTCAAGTGAATAAAAGTGAAGATGGATCAGATGTAAACCTACATGACAGAATATCTCACACCTGCATTTTGTAAAACAATTTTGTAAAACAGTTGTTATAAAACAACAGTGAAGATTACATTAAAAATAAATTAGCCTCTTTTTCAGCTTCGTGCACAAGAATATTTTGAACCTGTAAAAACATTTTACATGCATTAGAAGAACATTCTGAACATAAAATGAAACTCGTAATAAAGCATAATGATATAATTTATGTAATGAAGCAAAGTTGTATACAAGAATAACACTGGATATTGTTCTTTGGGAAGGAACTCCATCTTTGAGTTGATCTGAATCTCACAGAAACTGCTGGTCTTGAAGATGAACTTTATTCACTGTGACTAATTTAGATGTTTCTTATGACAGATTAATATGGAAGAGATGCGGTATAGCACTTGAAAGCAGTGGACCTGAAGATAAACTACTTAATGTGATAGTTTATTGTATGTCTCTGTAGAGAAGACGAATGACTGAAACTCTTCCCGCATGCAGTGCAGTGATATGGTTTCTCTCCAGTGTGGATCCTCTCGTGTGATTGCAGATGTGCTGACCGACTGAATCTCTTGTCGCAGTGTGAACACTTGTAAGGTTTCTCTCCAGTGTGCATCCTCTGGTGCCGTTTCAAATCTTTAGCTGTAATAAAAGTCTTCTCACACTCAAAGCGCATATGATCTCTCACACCAGTGTGTATCTTCTGATGAACTTTTAATTTCTCCAGAAGTGAAAAACTCTTTCCACAGAAAGAACATGAATGTGGTTTCTCATTTGAATGAACTTTCAGGTGATTCCTCAGTGCTGAGGCCCACAAAAATGTTTTTCCACATTGATCACATTGGTGCAGTTTCTCTCTCCAGTGTGGATGTTCATGTGGTCCTTAAGGTTTGCTGATTGTGTGAAACTCTTCTCACACTGATCACAAGTGAATGGTTTCTCTTCAGTGTGGATCCTCATGTGTCTCTTGAGACTCTGTTTGTATGTGAAACTCTTTCCACACTGAGTGCAGGTGAACCTTTTCTTGTCTCTTCTTTTCAGTAAAGAAATACGTTCAGTCTGTGAGTGAGTTTTTTCTCCAGTTTTGACAAGATGTTGTTTCTTCTCCATTAGATCTGAAATTAAAGTTAAAAAGGTAACAATATAAATAAATCATGTGACGTGAAAGCAGACAACAGCTACATCAAATTACGATCATTTTGACACATTTTTACAAAATAAGGTAAAAATATCTATATTAAAAAATACAGACACAAATCCAATGTTTCTGTAGTAAGAACTATGCAATGCTTTAATCAAATCCACAATTACAATATTATATTATAAACATAATATTAATATACTATACAAAAAAAAATGTAATAACTATTTTAAATTAATTAACTGGCCAATATTTTTCAATCAACACAATTTTCATTCCATTTCTTCCTTTTTAAAGCATTTTTTTAATGGCAACACCCAGGAAGTGACATCATTTGAACATTTGAGTTTCAGTCCCTATTTTGTAGCCTGGAGATAGAAAGTCTCCCCTATATTATTTATTGGTTTCATTTTTCCCCTTAATTTTTTACAACTCTTAATGTATTTTTATAAACACTGAATCTGATGAACTGCTGATAACTTTAAATGTTCTTCAGCTTCATTGATGAAGGATCAAGAATAAACACCAACCTGTTTGTTCTTCAGTGTGTTTCATTCTGCAGGGTTCCGGATCGCTCATGTTCTCTCTGTCCTTCAATAAACTCTGTCTCTGCAGATTTCACTTCTTCCTGATGCTTTGATGCTCGTCTTCACTTGTAGACTGATGGGAATATTCCAGCATTTATTGATGAACCGCAGTGGGAGGAGCTTCACTGAAGGTGTCCTTGTTGTGGGAGGAGCTTCACTGAAGGTGTTCTTGTTGTGGGAGGAGCTTCACTGAAGGTGTGATTGTTGTGGGAGGAGCTTCACTGAAGGTGTCCTTGTTGTGGCTTAATCAAATCCACAATTACAATATTATATTATTGTCATAATATTAACATTAATATACTATACTAAAAAAAATATGTAATTAATAACCATTTTAAATTAATTAACTGGCCAATACTTTTCACTTAACACAATTTCCATTCCATTTCTTCCTTTTTAAAGCATTTTTTTAATGGCAACACCCAGGAAGTGACATCATTAGAACATTTGAGTTTCAGTCCCTATTTTGTACCTTGGAGATAGAAAGTCTCACCTATATTATTTATTGGTTTAATTTTTCCCCTTCATTTTTTACAACTCTTAATGTATTTTTATAAACACCAAATCTGATGAACTGCTGATAACTTATGTTCTTCAAACTCATTACTGAAGGATCAAGAATAAACACCAACCTGTTTGTTCTTCAGTGTGTTTCATTCTGCAGGGTTCTGGATCTCTCATGTTCTCTCTGTCCTTCAATAAACTCTGTCTCTGCAGATTTCACTTCTTCCTGATGCTTTGATGCTCGTCTTCACTTGTAGACTGATGGGAATATTCCAGCATTTATTGATGAACCGCAGTGGGAGGAGCTTCACTGAAGGTGTTCTTGTTGTGGGAGGAGCTTCACTGAAGGTGTGATTGTTGTGGGAGGAGCTTCACTGAAGGTGTTCTTTTTGTGGGAGGAGCTTCGCTGAAGGTGTGATTGTTGTGGGAGGAGCTTCGCTGAAGGTGTGCTTGTTGTGGGAGGAGCTTCACTGAAGGAGGAGCAGATCTGCCAAAGTTTGAGTTTGATTTTCACATAATTCACATGAGTATTTACATTTACCTGCTATTTACAGTAAAATATCTGAATACAAATTCTCACATGCATTTCTGTTTGTCTGTTAGATTTTTACATTTAATATTTGCAAACATTCAAATTTTAATAATAAAATTAAAAGAATAAACAGAAGTACAGTTATATAACCAACAAAAATCAGTGTTTCCATAATTCCTTCCATTTGAGTTTAACGTTTTGTTCATCAGTTTTTACCTTTGTTTTGGCTTTCATTAAACAGTTTATCACAGCCTAATGAAATAAAGGCTGTTAGGACATCTGTATCTTGTATATATCACAATAGTGACTACATACTTTAAGTCTCTGCTAAGAATGAAATGAACTTTAACTGGCAATTTACAGGAGATCTGCATAATGAATGAGGTGAAAACAGGGGCTATTATCATGAAATAAAGAGGATTTTCAGCATTTGAGTTTAAAGTTTTGTTCATTAGTTTTTATCTTTGTTTTGGTTTACATTAAACAGTTTAACACACACTAATAAAATAAATGCTGTTAGGACATCTGTATCTTGTAGATATCACAATAGTGACTGCATAGTTTAAGTCTCTGATAAGAATGAATTAAACTTTAACTGGTAATTTACATGAGATCTGCATAATGAATGAGGTGAAAACAGGGGCTATTATCATGAAATAAAGAGAATTTTCAGCAGCTGATAATATTGATGAGTCTCAGACTATAAACACTCATTAAACAAGCCATTTAAGTTTATCATCAGATCATCTCACTTTAAATATAAGTATCTGTGACTGTTATTTTTTATTTTACAAACATAAATGTCAAAGAAAAACAAACACTGGAAGAACATGAAAAAAAAAAATCGCCCATGAATTTAAATAAGAAAATGGTTATGTTGGTGTTTTAGCGGTTGATGAAATAAAGCATCTCGCGGAAGAACATTAACACCGTTTCCATTAACAAAGCACTACAGCAATCATTGCTATAATTGTAGAAATGATATTAATTACGTCCATTACATTTTAATAACCAATATACAAGAGGGAGCAAAAAGACGCGCTTACCCTGTAGCTCCGCTCGTTTTCTGACGAACTACTTCTTCTTCTTCTTCTTCTTTGAGGTTTAACGGCGGATGCATCCAAGAGCGCTGCATTACCGCCATCTTCTGGATTATTCTCCTGCGATGTTGTTCCAGTTTCTGCCAGGTCACGTGATTTTAGCAAACGAAGCTTCGTTACGTCACACTCTCGAAACACACACAATATCGAAACGTTTCGAAATTCCGATGGTTCACCACTAGGGGGTGTTGATCTCAAAGTGAACCCATAAACCACTTCAGGTTGCCCAGTTAATCGTGTGACATGAAATCCCACGTAATTTTACTATAAAAAATAAAGAATTCTGGGCCAGATGTTGTGGGTTAAAGAAAAGATTAGTGATGGGACGATTGATACCGAGGCAGTTTTCAAAGCACTATGTATCACACACTGTGCCGATGCTTGTATCGAAATGACAACATCATGTGATTGATGACGTTTGAAGCTTTGAACATCCTGCAGTATCAGCTGGTTTGAAAAAAATCGTCGCTTCGCATGACTCTTGTGTTTGACTTTACATTGACTTTGTTGTGTGTGTGTGTACACTTATTTGGGATTCAGTAGAATAGTTTAGAATAACCTCAACACCAGACAGAAACTGAATGCACGTCACACCTCTATTGCATTTTATCATGTTCTATAGCTGGGGTCTCAGAGACCCCGAACAGCTCACCCAAAATATTTTTGCTACTACTCACGTCAATTATTAATTATAATCACAGACTTGTATATTTTATAGTATTGATCAATTTGTGAATCCATTGACCGGACTACGCATGACACGAGTTGGCACAGATTAAAAACTTTTTCAAAGCATCCTGTGCTCCGCGATGTTACGTTAGATAGGCTGGAGAAACCGAGTCTGAGCACCAGATCTCGCTAATGCGATAGAATTAAATCCACCTGCTTCTCACGACTGATAACACTACTCTTGCCTGCTGGTTTTTATAGACAGCTCTAATGAAAACACTTCAATTAAATAATTACATAAATCAATTAATTCATGAAATAATTAATTTAGTTTATTGTGTGTTAAGGGTTTGATTATACTTACATAAAACACATAACACAAGCACTAATATTTAATAGTATTTAAGTGTTTATTATTTATTTAACCAAAAAATTGTATTAATTGTATTAAAAAAAAATTTCCATTTGTTTTGTAAGTTTGGTGTGAGTTCTTGATGCTTTTACAACGTTTTCACCAGCAGGTGTCGCCAGCATGTGCTGTTTCAACTGCTTCGAAACATTGAATAATTTCTCGAAGCAATTGGTTCAATGCTTCGAAAAGCTTCGTTTCTCCCATCACTACATCTAACACACGGTATATTTTTACCTTAATATACTCATTACCAAACAGTTATAATCATAGAAATTATACTGATTACTTTCATTACATTTTAATGAACAATATACAAGAGGGAGCAAAAAGACGAGCTTACCCTGTAGCTCCGCTCGTTTTCTGACGAACTACGGTGTGCGCGCAGGGACAAAATACTAAACGTCTGCAATATTTTAACCACTCAAACACCATTTCATTTAGTTTAAGGTCTCATTTCATGGAATTCAACAGTATAAATTATTATAATCTATATTCTCTTTTTGATTCCGTTACATCAACAGACTTCAGCAAACGACACGATCAGCTATTGTGACATTTGCAGCTATCACAACAGCATTTATTCATTAATCTGTGATGAACTGTGTTTCATATAAAACACAAAACCAGAACATATAAAAACAAATTAAGTTAAACTCAATTCATTGCTTCTTTCACTTTTTAAATTCTTACATTTTTTATGTTTGGTGTCTTTTAATTGTTTCTTTTTTCTTTTCTTTTTTTCCCTATATTTCTGTGCCTGTATATTAATGAGAGAAAATATAAATAATATCATTTATTTTTTTTATTTCATCCTACAAGTACAAGCATCAAAGCATCAGGAAGAAGATAAATCTGCAGAGACAGAGTTTATTGAAGGACAGAGAGAACATGAGCGATCCAGAACCCTGCAGAATGAAACACACTGAAGAACAAACAGGTTGGTGTTTATTCTTCATCCTTCATCAATGAGACTGAAGAACCATTAGGTTATAAAGCAGTTCATCAGATTTCGTGTTTGTAGTAGGAAAAAAACATAAACCAATAAATATTATAGATGAGACTTTCTATGATCAGGGTTGTTTGCATGAAATATCCCATAAACATTCCCACGTTTGCTCTGTGAGACACAGGCTTCAGTTTATCTCCATTAATACTATTTTCTGTGCATATTTTCACTTACCTACATCAACTTGCTCCATCAATATTGTCTCCACATAGTGTACATTTAAACCCTGTTCTCTTCACATCAATTATCTTTCTTAGATCATAATATAACTGTACAGTTAAAAGTCTTCAGAGCTATAGGCTATAATATGTTTTTTTTTTTTATATAAATCGCTCAGGGGTTTGACAAACCAGTTGGACAGAGTTTATATGTACAAATCATCCAAGCACCCACTTTCTAGCCATTTCTAATATACATTTGATTAACATTGCTAAATATTATTAAACTGGAAAGAAATTAAAGATCCATCTTTGATTGTCAAAAAAATTCAGTTCCCAATCAGCCAATTAGATTTCACGTAGTATTTTCATCGGTCAGTCGTGGAAGTCTGATTGGTTAAATCTTTATTTATATAGAACCTTTTAAAACAGTGTTTACAGAGAGATGCATGTGTGCATTCATAGAAAAGAACAAGATACAAACATAAAAGAGATAAAGTAAAACAAAGTACAATAGCCAGCGTATCAAACAAAAATACAACAATAAAAAATCAAAGAAAGGCCTGGTGAACAAATCTGTTTTTAGATATTTTTTTTTAAAGGGTGTAATGATAGGGTGAATTAAGGGTGATTGGGACAGTTTTTGAATTTCCGCCTTCTGCAAGGTTTCTTGCCGTAAATTAAAAACATCAGCCCAACACATGATACATTTCTGTAATACTGAAGATGTTAAATACTCATTTGAGGAGGAGACAATGTTATATTATTATAATGAAAGGATGCGTGACGTACACTTTTCTGTAAACAGGCCTGAAGAATCACCTAAAGTTCATTCAAAGGAGAAACACATTCATGTTCTTTATGTGGAAAGAGTTTTTCACTGCTGCAGAGTTTAAAAGTTCATCAGAAGATACACACTGGTGTGAGAGACCATATGTGCTTTGAGTGTGAGAAGACTTTTATTACAGCTGAAGATTGTTGTGGAACTTGTAGGGTCAAAAATAATCAAAGACTTCTGCTTTACTGTCCCAAACCTATCTTGAGTAACAAAAGGGCCATTTGTCATTCCCGAAGACACAGAGGTGCTGATAGTGATCAAGGCCTGCAGGCCAACATGTGTATACACTGGGGGTCTGCTAATTGTCACACCTTTTGCCCAGTGTGTGAAGCTATAATCTGCTGATTGGTCAGTTTGAATGTCTCACAGTTGGTTTTTAGTCACATGGTCAAGGAAGGGATAAAAGAGGAGTGTAACTGTAGTTCGGTCTCTTTTCTTTGCTGGAGCTCTTCTTGGGGCTCTGCCCTCTCTCCCTCTTTCTCTCTCCCTCTTTCTCTCTCCCTCTTTCT